GTGTTTTTTTTTTCACACGATATATATATATATATATATATATATATATAGTTGGTACTATATATATCTTAGTGAAGTACTGTTTGCGATCAGAGACTAATTAGTTGCATATGTCCACAAGAATGGAATAACTTGATCCTGTTGAAACTCCAAATAATGACACAAAAGGTTGGGAATAACTTGGCCTGTTCAACTAGAAATGGTGCTAAACTAATAAAGGTAAAGACGAAGGGAAACCAAAAAAAAAAAAAAAAAAAAAAGGAAGAAAACAAAACTTATAATGAAAAGAAACTAGGCTTCCCTCAAAGATTATTGCAAGATGTCGGATAAAGACTCCTTGCCTGGCCAATTCTTAGAAAAATGCAAGCTGAATATCTTCAGTCCTGAACTTTTTAACCAGCCAAATATTAATTTGCAAATTTTTGCAAGTCCCTTAATTAAAACTTAATTAAGGTCATGTACAATAGTTATGTGTTTCTTACATAATTGGAATTAGCTCACGATCAATTGCTCATAGATCCAACAAGAGAAGACCAAAACAAAAACTAAATTAAAAGGTGACCTTTTGTATAACTGAAGAGGGGGTAGACTAAATGTTCGATATTTGAAACTTTTAATTAGGAAAGGGATAAAGTACGCGAACAATGGTCTTGGTAAACTATAAAAATTAGGATTTGGTAGTGAGGGAGTTTTCAAGTGAGCACTACCTGTTAACTACTGCAAAATAATAAACAGAATTTGGTCAACTTTTAGTATTCTAGAAAAAGATAAGGTAACGACTTTTAATTGCCAATTGAGGTAGTCTAATTAATTGGTGTTTAGTGAGTATATGAGTTGTTTTCAATATATTGAATCATGGTACATGACATAAAGTAAAGGAGAATAATCATTTAGTTGGGAAATGAGAACTAGCTAGCTAACTAAAACGTAAATCCTAATTTGATGTCATCACGACTTAAAACTAGGGGAAAAAAAAAGCTCGGTTTTCTTCCTTCTTTATTACATGACCCTTATTTGAGGACCTAAACTTTATCATAATCATGTTTCATTATAGGTCGAATTTACAAACACTAGTTCTCAATATATCTTGTGTTGATCATAGCTCATCAAGCTCATCACCTATATGAAAAGGTGGTTCTTTAGACCTAATTTACTTGGTTACATTCAGCTCGGATTAATGCTAAGGGAAAAAAAAAAGATAAATACCCCTTAAAATGTATGAGTTTTAAATTTTTATCCCTTACACTTGATTAATATATTTTAGTCAAAGAATTATATTAGTCAAAATTTTTGCGTGTTAAAATAAAAAGGTATAAAATGGGGACGAACTGTAAGAAAAAGTCCTACATATCCAATTTTTGATAATTTATTCTTCGCAAACATAGTAAATAGCATTGAGAGTGAATCATTCTAAACTATTGTGTTCTTTACCTTTTGCAATTTAATTGACGGTTCATATATGTGAGAGATAAATTTATGAGGTGATCTAGGATAAAAATTTTATTAGACGAATCTTCATCACCAACATATTGCTTATTACATTTTTTAGCTAGCAAAAAAAATAAAAACTCTATCTAGTGGTATAAATAAGAAAAAAAATTGTGTTACTCGAAAGGGAAGACTGTTCACACGCTGTTGGAGTAAAATCTTCCATTTCCATAATTAATTTACTTTGCGCCCAAGACCTATTACCATTTGGCGACACGCTTTCTATAGAGACCTAACAATATGCCACTGATAATAGATTATACTTTATTTTTTTGGTAATGGATAATAGATTATAGTTGTTTTTTTGTTTTTTTGTTTTTTTTTTGGTAACATGATAATAGATTATACTTGCACAATTTTGAATGTTACAAAATTAAAGGAATCTAGATCAAGATATGTGTAGCCGCTAGAAGCTCTTTATTAAGATTTCACGGGGTGCTCCAAAGTCCAATCATTAGTCTATTCCTAATATTTTATATTTTATGGTTGTTAGCTCAATGGATGCCTAATCTGAAAATTAAACCAGAGAGAGAGAGAGAGAGAGAGAGAGAGAGAGAGAGAGAGAGAGAGAGAAGAATTGTATGCATAAATTCTTCATGTGCTGTGGCTCTGTGTCGTCTTGTTCATAGGTCAACACGCACAAATTTCAAACGTCACAAAATTCAAGACAGTATGTAACATGTGGACCCTAATAAATAAGGAACACCAAAGATTAAAAAACTTTATTTTTTTCCCCCTTTCCATTTAATTTTTACACTGTTTCGTCCTTCCTAAGCCAGAGTTATGTACAAAAAGAGCTATTCATTCTTTCTTTTCCGATGAACCTAACACATGCATGAAATTAAACATCATTTTTTTTTTTTTTTTTCTGATACAATGTATAAAAATTTACCAATTGGAATGTTATTTATACGACAAGTATTAAGTAGAAGAAGATTATAATGTTGGAACTCCTTGATCTATTTCCAATGAAGACTTTTATACCTGTTACCTATATGTCCTCACTTTTCCTTAATGAGATAATAAGTAGGGTAAACTTTCTGATGTGTCCAAATAAACACTTAAAATGGAAAAAAGGGACCAAAGTCAAAAAAAAAAAAAAAAAAAAAGAAAAGAACTGATAACAGCTGGAATGACAAAAATCTTCTAAGCATGTGCGACCTACGTGGTTGCATAATTCACACTTGGTGGGGAAATGATAAGGAGTGATGTGGATTAGGGTTTTGTCTCTTTATGAAAATGATTATTCATGTTTAGGTGAGGAAACTTTTGACCTTTATAGGCATATATATATATATATATATATATTCATTGCACATACAATATGATCCTGTGGGGATTTTTTTTTTTTTTTTTAAATCTTGACTGCTACTGTTTCAAATTTAAGAGAAAAAAGATACCCATATATCAAAAGAGATAAAAAAGAAAATAAAAGGAGAAAAAGAATAAAGCAGTGTGGAGAGAACCTTATATGACACAAAAGTTTCACCAAGCCTAAAGGCATTGACACAATTATAGGTTCTACGCCATGCGCTTTGGTTTTTATTTCCTTCAAGTCCAATAATAACATGGTAATTTTATTTTCTTTACTCTTTTCATAACTGATGACTGATGTAATAGAATAGAATCACTTTATTTATTTCTTTTATGGTTAGAACCACTTTAATTTGATCGTGTGGGACGGACTTCCATCATTTTTATTTCTATTTTTTTTCCTTTATGTTTTTAATTACCAAAAGATGAGTAAAATAGAAAAAGAAAATCATGGGTAAACGTGAGAATACCTTCTGCTTTTGCTTCTTTTTTTTTTTTTTTTTTTTTTTTTTTTTAAATCCCCCTTCCTCCGAGAGTCGGATCTTTTTCAATTTTAATATTGGTATTGGGATTTCATCCTTAATTTACTAATTAATTAATCGTGGTTAAAACAACAAATAAAAGGATTTAAGATTATTTTCTAATGTAGGGTGATCTTAGTGGCGTCAGATTATTGGCAACATGACGTCACACCACATTTTATTCTTTATTTTGGGCAGTCGAATCGGATGTGTGGGGTTCGGGGCTTCTAGTTCTAGCCAACTGGCCAAAAAGTCAAGCAGATCAAACCTTCGAATTCTGAGACAAAATTACTGCTTTAATTTTGTTTCGAAGTATGATTGAAAGTGTTTTATTTTCTTTAATTGTTTGATTTTTGTAAGTCTCCGGATACTTTTGGTTTTCAAAGTTATGTTGTTTAATTTCTTAACTAATCAATATACATGATCAATTTCAATATATATATATATATATATACACACACACACAAGATCATATCTAAATATGCTTTATTAAGGGCATTGAATGCTTTTTTATAAAAGTGTTGGGAGATAAAGATTCATCTTTTTTTAATGGTGAATCTTCATAATGCCAATTTAATGGGGCATGGTAAGAGTTCTTCCAATGCCAACAATATACGTATGTTGCAGAAATTGTCCTGCTGATCATGGGCACCAGCACTGGAAGCTGGAGTAATCTATTACATTACAACTAGTGAGCCACCAGATTATGTAGCCAGAAAATGAGCATTGATCAATCGTTGGAGTAATCTACTTGATTACCACAGTAGTCTACGAGATCACGTTGTCTTTTTAATGCAAATCAGCGTTCGTCACTGAAGTAATCTACTGGACTACCACTAGTATCTCTCAAATTATTTGGCCTTTTTCTATCATAGTTTCGATCTAATCAGAATCGGATAATCTTGAAAAATACCCCTTGAAAGTGCATGAATCATGATTTTTACCATCTACTCTTAATTTATAACCCTTTTTGTCAAATAATTACATTAACAAAAGGGTATTTATTAAGAATAAGGGGTAAAAACTCGTACACTCTTAATGATAAATTTTCCATTTTTTCACTAGAATCTCTCTAACCTTCCTTTTCCATGGCTCGTCAAATCTGGAGTTCTATGCTGATTCTGACAAGATTTGATCCTCTATGGACGAATTTGTTCACCAAAT